GTAGAAAAAGACCCCAATGCATTATTTGGTTGGATTTCAAAAGCAAAAACTCTGGTCCTGTCTCCCCTATAAAGCTAAAATCCAACTATAGAGAGATGCGAAAGTCTGTGACACCCAAAACTCCTGCTTTTTAGACACAAACACACAACGTTTACCCCTCACTAGCAGGGTACAACTAGGCACTCAGTTGATAACAAGCTACACAAATACGCTTCAGAGTTATTGAGCTGTAGCTTCTCACAGTGTGTTGAAGCTGTCAAAGGAATCAGTCTGCAGCACTGCATGTCACACACATCACTTGAGACGATTTGGTGTCCCTGAGTCACTAGGGCTTTAAATGGACTATATATATTATACTATACTATACTATATATTATACACATCTTAAGATTCATATCAGTATGTAGTGTCTCTACTTTAAAGAGTCCTCTCCTGCTGATGTTCAGGTGTATATCAGTATGTAGTGTCTCTACTTTAAAGAGTCCTCTCCTGCTGATGTTCAGGTGTATATCAGTATGTAGTGTCTCTACTTTAAAGAGTCCTCTCCTGCTGATGTTCAGGTGTATATCAGTATGTAGTGTCTCTACTTTAAAGAGTCCTCTCCTGCTGATGTTCAGGTGTATATCAGTATGTAGTGTCTCTACTTTAAAGAGTCCTCTCCTGCTGATGTTCAGNACCGTAACTACGTACTACGTTACTACTTACTAGTAGTAGACACGACACACACACACACACACACACACACACACACACACACACACACACACACACACACACACACACACACACACACACACACACACACACACACAACACACACACACACACACACACACACACACACACACACAGACTATAACACCCCTTGCATATATATATATATATGCCGTTAATAACTGTGTAATATACACCTGGCTGCTAAATCCTAAGAACTGTTACAGGATGTGTATTTTGAAAATTATGTAACTTTTTTTATTTTTTATTATATTTTTTATTATATCATAACTTAGTACTTTAATGCATGTAACATATGTAACATGAAGCTGTCTGTGGCTCTTTTTTCTGCTGTAACTATGTAAATGTCCCCTCTGTGGGACTAATAAAGGTATTCCGATTCTCTTTCTGTTACCAATCAGTGTCTTAAAATATCTAAAATACATGTATTTTAAGTCCCTGGTCTTCTCAAGTAAAAAGCACCATTGATAGTTAATTTAAGCTCTTTGAAAATGAGCAAAAAGTACCTAAATGAAACCCAACCTGTCCTTTGGGTCTGCAGGAACACGCCTCAGGCTCCGTTCACCTCTGCACCACCCCTTTGCGTCTCTGCTCTTTAAAAAGGAGACTCGTCAGGGGAAGTCTGTCTGCAGCCGCCTCTCCGACCTGCAACACAGACAAGCAAACACCGTCAACATCTGCCCGCCAGGTGAGGGTTTTACATTTTACTGCGATATCACAACCACAGACATTTAAAAGTGTGTGAACACATGCACTGGGAGGGTAAACTGTACGAATCTCCAGTTTTATGTCACTTACAAGCAAAATGTCGGGAATTGCATGAAGACGATCGAGCGTCAAATTAAAATTCCTTCTCAACCCTGACACACCCTTTTCTCATTTTACATTCTCATGTAGCAGAATCGTTTAAAGCAGATCCTTTGCTTGAGTTACTAGGTGTTTTAAAGTAATATCATGTGTTTTGGATGTTATATCTCTGTGCAAAACACATATTTAAACTTTTCCATCTCATGTACTCATTGCGAGGCTTAGAGGGATCATATTACTTCCTGTGAGCCATCGGGAAAACCCTTTTTCCTTCCTTCCTCAGGATGAAGAAGAAGCTGATCCTCGATGTGGACACCGGGGTGGACGATGCTCACGCCATCATGATGGCCCTGGCCGCCCCCGACGTGGAGGTTTTGGGGATCACCTGCTGCCATGGCAACACCCCCCTGGACAACGTCCTCAAAAACACGCTGCGTGTCCTGCAGGCAGCAGGCAGGCTGGATGTGAGTTTGAATGTAACATCAGGGGTGTTAGCGCATGTCCATGGAAGGTATGATGGTATCAAAATTAGAATAGCTCAATGGGATGGGTGGGGAAATTAGGTTGGGTTGTGTATGTTCAATATTGGCCTATTTGTACAAAAAAAAAGCTACGGAAATTTGCTGAGAAAATTTGATGTGAATTTGCATAAATAAAACAGTAATAATCCTGAGTCATATGAATACAGAATAATAATTGTGCAGGTTTTAGAATATTGTCTGTATTGCACAGTTTAAGAGGGTTTGCGCAGCTGTTGGTTGGAGTAAAACTAAAAGTATGCATGCTTTACACATCCCGCTCCACAGATCCCAGTGTATGCCGGCTGTGATAAGCCCCTGCTGGCCCGTAAACAGCACGCTGGAGATTACCACGGGAAGGACGGGATGGGGGACGTCCCGGACCCCAACGCCCCGGGGCTGGAGCTGCTGCACAAGAGGAACGCCGTGAAGGCCATGATCAAGATGATCAACGAAAACCCCGGAGAGGTGAGGCTTCATGGGTCTGAGAGTAGCAGAGGGGTGTGACTGTGTTAAGATTGTCACCAGATTACATTAGTTAAAAGAAAAATAAATAACAATGTATGAGAAAATAGAAAAGTAGTAATGTTTGTGGTGTTTTATACCTCACCCATTTTTCCCCAAAAATATCATACAAGTCTAAATGTGTGTGTTTGCTGTCGACAGGTGACTCTGGTTGCCACGGCGCCCCTCACTAACCTGGCCGTCGCCGTGCAACTGAACCCCAAAATCCCTAAGAAACTGAAGGCGCTCTACATCATGGGAGGAAACACTGAATGTATGTTGTTACTTTCAAAATGACTGTTAAATATCTTCCTCCTCTGCAATCAAAGTTATGATGTGTGTGTGTGTGTGTGTGTGTGTGTGTGTGTGTGTGTGTGTGTGTGTGTGTGTGCAGCCAGAGGTAACACTACAGTGTGTGGAGAGTTTAACTTTGTGGCTGACCCCGAGGCGGCCTACATCGTGTTGGACCGCTACACCTGCCCCACCTACATCGCCACCTGGGAGTTCAGCTGCAGGAACAGCCTGCCCTGGGTGAGGCAGCACACACAGATTTTAAATTCATCATTCATTTGAAAGAATTCATATGCTGACACACAGATGTGATAACGCCCTCTGTCTTGCTCCCTCAGTCCTGGTGTGATGAGCTATTGGCCCTAAACACACCCAAAGCCAACTTTGTGAAGACTATCTCGTGCCTTTCCAACAAAGTAAGGACTGTGCAGAAACAAATAACACTTTGAAATATCATGGTCACATTTGCTGTAACATTGGCAATACGCTCCAGGAAACGGCTGCTTTAAACACCATGTCCTATGCATGTTTGCACAAGTTGTTCTCAGATGGGTAATGCACCACACCTCACTTTAAAATGTCTGTGTAATCTGCAGAATATATATGTTGTATATTCCAAATATTTTACCAGGGCTGGGCTAATCTTTTTGGAGCCCTAGGCAGAATGCACTCCCTCTGACTATCACTGTAAAATGAGACCTGCACATTTCTGCTTAAAGAGGAAATATTATGCTGATTTTCAGGTTCATATTAGTATTTTGTGCCTCTACTGTGACATGTTTACATGCTTTAATGATCAAAGGTGGGAGTGAGACTCTCTCTGGAAGAACACTTTGGGATTTTAGCCTTTGCAGACCATTTAAATGCACAAAAACCTATACAGTATAACCCACTACAGGAAAAAGGAGAACCCTAAAAAGCACAAAGGGCTGTTTTTAACAACTCATACATGTTGTTTGGTGGCCCTCTAGTGTCAGCTGTATGGTCACTACATGCCTTAATGTGCGTCATGATGTGTTTCTCTGCAGAAAGCTCGGTCTTCAGACTACCAAAAGGAGATCACAGAAGGAAAAGGCTTCAACTCCTGTGACACCTATGCTTTGGCCGCCGCCATCGATGATACTCTCATAACAAAGAGTGAAGAGGTGGGAATCTCTTGCTTAACGGTCTTTTAAATACACCCAAATCAAATCATTTCCCAACCTTTCATTGTGTTTTTCCATCAGGTTGCAGTGTCAGTGGAGCTGGAGGGGAACTTCACCCGAGGCATGATGGTGCTGGACTACATGGGCCAGATGAAGAAGAAGCACAAGGTCTTCATCATGAAGGAAATCGACCAGGAGAAGTTAAAGCAGATGTTCATGAACTCAATGAAGTAGAAATGAAACACATCAATTGGGTGCATCAGAACGAATAAACGTGACTTTTACAATGAAAAAGGACTTGGGTTTTCTTTATTTAACATTTTGATGGTCTTCCATGCCAAATAATCTTTCACACGACCTGACATGACCTATGCAGCACAACACATATTCAAGCAGCAATACAATATGTTATAAATACACACAATTAAAGACAAGCACATCTCACATTTCCTCCCAAAGTATTATTTATTTTTGGTCTAAAGAGATGCACATTTTATTGATGCCCTGAAAGCCAAGTCTCCATGAGGTTTTATTTACTTCACATATGGTTTAAATATATTTTTCGTACTCGCTGTTCTACTTGGATGAACACTCAGAGGGTTTTTGTCCAAGCACTATTTAATATCTCCTCTAATGCTCACGCCATAGAATTTGTTGACATGAGAAGTTAAAGCAGATGTTCATGAACGCACTGAAGTAGAAATATACAAAAACAAGCTGAAGGCATGAATGTGGTTCACCAAAATAAAAGATAACAGGAATATAGCTGGAATTTTTTCAACCACAGACACACTTAAAGTTCCTGTCTGTCTCACATGCAAAGCATATCACACGTCTGTGTCCACAAGCATGCAACTGCAGAGAAGCAATTAAAGCATGCTAGACATGCCATTTAACTCATAGATAAAGCAATTATGTATACTAGGAGGAGGGGACTAAATGTTGTTATGCAAGAAGTCCAACTAATTATCTTGCATTATATGAACATTTGCCTCAAGCAAAGCAAAAAGTTTGTTCTGTTGCGTCATCCTAAATTTTGAAACAATACAAAAAGCAGGGGGGAGCAGAAAGGCGTTTCACTCAGGGGGACTCAGTTTGACTGGTAAGTTGGTTGTTTTGCTTTCTGTGCAACTAAACTGCATGCTTTCTCACCCAGTTTGTTGATTAGTTAATGCAAAATAGATTAGCTTTTACTAAGAATGTGCAAATACCCAAATTGACTCAGGAGTGACTCGGTTTAGGTGTGGACCCACCCTTTCCAAAAACATGGCGGCCAGCACTGACGCGACAAACCCCTTCGAATCTGAACACACACCTTTATGCCTTTTCTCGCAGGTAAAATGAAGAACAAGATCATCATCGACGTGGACACAGGTGTGGACGATGCTCAGGCTATCATGATGGCGCTCGCGGACCCAAACGTGGAGGTTTTGGGGATCACCTGCAGCCATGGCAACACCCCCCTGGAGAACTCCTGCAAGAACACACTGAGGGTGTTAAAAACCTGCAACAGGCTGGACGTAAGGTTTATTATGAGGACCTATTACCAGACCTAAAACTGTCATGTATTTAATAGTAGTAAAATATAGAAGTATTGACCTTACAAAGGGTTGCATACCATTTATAACTTTTTCGTCATGAAGCTTCTTTCTTAGTAATAAGTCAATAATAATAATGCAGGGAAAACATAGGAGAATTGTACAAATCATATTGAATTTTTGTATTTTATTTGAATTACAATAAGAAACTTTTGGAAGTGTGTTTTGTCACTGTATGTTGAGCAGTTTACAAGTTTCGGTGAGATGTGGAACATTATATAAGAAGAAAGACTGGGGGAAAATAACTTTACAGGTGCTCAGATAGAAAAATATTTGTGGGTATTACATTTTTATTCATGGGGAACAGATGGACTGACCCAAACAAAGTTGTTGACACTTCTACTAAGAGCAAGCAACATGGCACGACAAAACATAAAAAACAAAGAAGGCAAAGTTGTTTATTTGACAAATATTATATTCGAATTTCATCATCTTTTTCTTTTTTTTAATATATTCTTTACTTATGTTCTTTTTTAACTTAGTTTAGACCCCCTGGTATGAACAGTGGTGTGTATATATAATGATAATGCTATATAAGAAGCATATTTTCTTTAATAAACAGCTGTAATCCCCCACAGATCCCAGTGTACCGGGGGTGTGCGGAGCCCCTGCTGGCTCGCAGACTTCACGCTGGAGATTTCCACGGAAAGGACGGGCTGGGGGACGTCCCGGATCCAAACGCTCCGGGTCTGGAGCTGCTGCAGAAGAAGGGAGCGGCGCAGGCCATCATCAAGATGGTCAACGAGCATCCTGGAGAGGTGGGTGGAGGGTAAACCTTAAACAATGTGGTGTTAGTGTTATTATTGCACATAACACATAATAAAACTGTGCTCATGCTTTACCTGAAAGTATAGTAAACATATAGGAAATGGGTGAGATAATGTATCATTTAACCCTTTCATGCATAGAGGTCACTACAGTGTACAGCTATTCAAAAGGTGTTTTCTTGTATATGCATTGTTTTTTTTTGCATAGTTGCACCATCAGCCACTACATAGGACCCTATTGCATCATCCCATACACTGCCACTTAGTGGAAAGTCAGTGTAAGTGCATGATACATGTCTCTAAACCAAGATGAACGACCGAAAGCCACATGGGACCTTTTTTTAAGTCAAACCATCTTATAACTTCCTTTGCCAATCCTTTTTTATGGAAAGCGTCCCCTGGAGATATAAAAGAGCGGTGACATCAGTAACAACTATTATTGTTTGATTATTTTTTCATATCATTTCTAATTTTTTTTTTTTTTTTAAATTATCAAAGGTATATGATTAGTATGGTTTTCGCAGGAAATCAGATTAAGCAGCCTGTCACTAAGTGGGACGTATGCATGACTGGCTATATTTCAACTAACAATGAATACTGGTACTGCTGCTGACTGTACCCAGGGCCGTTCCTTCCTACAGGCAGATTCATGCAGACTGTGTGGGTGCCTCAACTTGTGGAGGGGGCCACACCCTTGCGTAGGGGGCTTCATCTGAGGCGCACCTATGCGCTTATATGGCGCAATTAGGGTGGGCTCGGCACGGTTTTTCCGCCGCTGCGAAGGCTCCTACCTAGCAATCATCAAATACTGTGCGTGGGGCCTCAAATTGGCCCGCTTGGCCTGGTTATCCTTGGAAAAATACTTCATCTACGAATATCTTTTTGGGCGTAAATCAATATAACTTATATTATTTAAAAAATTAAGTAATTTTAAGTTTGGCCACAAAAAAATCTTTATTTATAATTTTTTTCAAATGTACACTCTCTTCAGTTCAAACCCTGAAACGCATACTGTCCACCTGAGTGGACATATATAAATCTTCTTTGAAAAACTAATTAAAAAAAAAAGTTCAAATCTTGTTTTCCATGCCCCAAGAGCAATATAATCAACTTGGTAAAAAATTATTGATCTTCTACATTCANGACTGTCTGTCTCTCCTCCGTTTGTCCCGGGGATCCTGCTGTCTGTCTGAGCAGCTGATCCCAGTCTAAGCAGTTTTCCTCCAGCTAAGCCCTGCCCACCTAACACACACACACACACACACACACACACACACACACACACACACACACCACACACACACACACACACACATGGACTCACACAACGCTATGACAAGCATATGGTTTTGAGTGTGCAGCTTTAGCCGAAGCCAGCGGAAACTCTCTTCCTCTCCTCTGTCAGGTTATCTCTCTCTGTTCTCCCTTTTCTCTCCTTCTCTTTCTGTCTTAATCCAATTAAATCTACTCTCCTGGGATATCAGCAAAAAAATACACATTGAGAGAAAAGAACCGAACTCCTCTGTTTCCAGTCCAACGCTATGAACTAGAACATTTATTTAGCCAATAGTTTCCTATTTGGAGAGAATAAAATAAATAAATCCAGCTACAATCACTCCAACAATCCAACTCGCACATGTGTGCTTTAGGTTAAATGTGCACCCAAGCCAATCCAAACAGCCTTTTATCAAAACAAGAGTGACATATTAAACGACTAACCCTGAACATAATATATGACCTCATAAAATAAAGCCTTTAGACAGCTTTGATATCAAAGTAGTTCATATTATATTTTCCTCCTTATTGCCTCCGTCTGGAGCTGCAGAACTGTTATCTAAAGCTCACATATGGAGGCGCACATATCATATTCATTTGAATCATTCGGACAGAAGCCAAAATGCATATTTACAACCTGCATCTGCTGATACATACTTTCCACAAATGTTCTGTACTAAGTGGATCCACTGCATAATTGGAGCGTTATGTCATATTGTATTATACGTTCATATGTGCCATAAGTTGAGCTAAAGGTTTGAAGAGATAATATACATTTGAAAGAGAATTAATATATACACTGACTCCGATTACCCTTTCTTATTACAGTTAATATAAAACATGAATTCAGTGTGTACAGTTCTACTTTGCTGCTATATGTCAAGATTTTAGGCATCAAACGCTCCTATAGGTTTAATTTCTCCTTTGATTTGATTTTCCATATAATAAGAACCACAGTTTTTCACAGTAACCTCATTTTTATGACATTATTCGATCACTTCTGTTGGATTTTGTATATTTCTGCACTTGTTGGTCCACCTGTTGAATGCACTCTGATTTGGGAATGTTTTCCTTGTTTCCTTGTAAACAATGCCATTTTAAAGGCAGGACTTTGAAAATATTTCGCCTCAATTGTTGCATCGTACAATTTGTATCAGCACATGTACAAAGCATCCTAACAAGCAGGCACATATGCAGACAAGGCAGTAGGTTCTGGCTAAGAACCGGCCGTACACTTGGGGATCTGGGTTCCTGGTATTGGACCGTAATCCCCGGTGACGCAGCAGCAGATCCCGCTGGCAGAGGACCTGTGTGCTCCACGCTCGTTGTGCTTCTCTCAGCATCCTCAACAATAGAAGCTGCTTCTTGTTGGTCTCGAGGAGTCGGGGTTAATTAACCACCTGGGGATGCCAGAAGTTGCTGACCTTTCAGAAAGCCAGTTTGCTCTGAATGGAGGTGAATCATAGACGTTCTCCTGGATGACAACATGAAGAGCAATTATTGGTCGACCCCAGCAGAATTATGGGTCAGTCCCTCCAGCAGTGGACGCTCAAATTCTGGTTGATTTGACAAAAACCTCTTACCTTTCCTGTCCTCTTTGCCTCTCAGCCTGTGGTCTTCAGTTCTCTGTACTCTTATTCATTCAAAAAGACGCTGTGTGTTTTTACTACAGCTCCCACTGCGCTGCTCCATCTATCGTTTTAATGTTCCTGCCGTCCCGCTGAGATCAAACACAGTCGCCACCTCTGCTCCTTCACCCCCCTTGACGACTGCCAGGAGCCTCTGGTCGTTACCCCACCATAGGATGTCTTACCTGGGTTTACTAGCCTCATATAGGAGACTGTCTTCTATTAACAGCACCCATAGAGATCCTGTAAAGTAGTGAGGATCAGGTTTTACTTTCACCCACAGCATCTTTGACACAAACACTAAATTATGTTTGAACCCTCCGCACATAGGGATTAATAAAAGCACTTTGTTGCCTTCCTTTGAGCTCAAATTGATTAAAATATCAATTACAATTATATAATAATATCAGGGGAAAATACCCCCCAAAAATGCAGTAAATAATAAAAAATGTTTTCTTGTTTATATCCTACTTTTCCCCATCATATTTATAAAGGACTCCCTTCCTATGCATTCACCTCGCTCCTGGTATTCGTTAAAAATCGGTGGCAGAGGACGTCCAATCAAGCTTAACGAGGTAGGAGGCTTAACGAGGTTTAACGAGGCACCGAGGAGCAGCGGGACCGGCCTCATTAGGAGACGCTTGTGAGGGTCCAACCAGCAGAGAGGATGTGGGGAATCGGTTAATAGAGGACCCACCCCAGAACTGAGTTTATTCCTTATTTCTTTTCATATATAATCAGCGATTTTTCAGGAATATTCCAGAGCTACCATGCTGATTAGTAGTCGGGGATGGATGCCGGGTTGCAACGATAATATTTGATCAAAAGACTGACGTGTCGCAGCTCATTAAATCACATTATTATTTTATTATCTGCAGCTGTGTTTCCATGGTGTGATAAATGATGCCTCAAGCTAATTTAACATGTTCATACTTATAACACTTTCAATCACTGTTCATATAGATTGACAATGTTGATATAGCCTGCCGTGATATCAGTTAATTATCAAGGGAGTTAGAAATGATATTTTCCAGTATTCTTCGGCATTTCAAAGAACAAATAATCATACACTCATATCCTACCTACTGCTTTAGGCACTAACAACACAATAATAATGATTTCCACTTCTCTATAAGTCCTAATAGTAGATTGCAATGAAGTTGACTGATGCTTGCTCTAGCTATTGCATCTTGCTGTCAGTGTTGATTATTGTTGACACCACAGCAGTGATGTTGCTCCTTAAGGCAGTTTATTTTAGACGATGGAAAGTGATTTGTTTTTAGGATGAACTCTCCTGGCGCGTTAGTGGACGGACAGGAATGAACTCACGACACCTCCAGGCCCCCCCCCCCCCGCCGCCTCCTGTTTCCACCAACGGCTTGTAAACTTCAGAGCATTTTACCCGCAGACATGTTGCCTAGGAAACCAGGAAGGTGATTAAAATGACGTCCACCGTCACCTCATCACACCACACACACACATACACACACACCACCACACACACACCACACACACAAACACACACACACCACACACACACACACACACACACACACACACACACACACACACACACACACACTCACCATACAGCAGCACTGCTTGGTCTGTTAAACGGCTGCTGCTCTCGTTGTCCATGCACCACCGGAGCTTTTTTGGTTGAGTGTGTGTGAACAAACATCAAAGTGTCCGGTCCTTTTTCTAAAGTTTAGCAAATGCTGTACCTCGAGGAAAGAACACTTCTCTAAACCTGCAGCTACTTTTTCAGCTCTTTAATTTGCCACTTAAAAACATACTTGTTTCTTTTCAATTTAAGGTTGAATGTTAAACAGTTACTGTAGGTGGAACTTTTGCAATAGTAATAATCACCACCTTCTGACACGGCCTTAATTGAAAGCATACATAGTTTGATTATTCTTTAACTCTAGTAGACGCATCAGCAAGTCACCATTATAAACTCCCTGTGCTGGATAACAGTGTCAGAATTTAAATAAAAGATCCAGCTACTTAACTATCGCACTTCAATATAAGCAAATGCCCAATTAAGCAAAAGAGTGGGATGCATTTTTGTGTCCCACTGGTGATTGA